TCAAATTTCATTATCTCCGCAAACCTCAGTAGCCAGGGTAGTTTTCCTAGAACTACCAATTCATAAAATCACTATCTCCTTCACCTTATTCTTCCTAAATCCAATTCTGCCTGCCCCCCTAAGTCCCCAAAATCCTCTCTTTCACCACGCTTTTTGACTGCCTCTTCCAATGAGCTTCATCCTCCACTTCCAGTCTTTTTTGACCCCAGTCGTTGCTCCAGCCTATGGAAGAGGAATGCAGTGAGGAAGGGAGCTGATGGGAGAATAAGTGTACGATACTGTGGGTCAAACTACATGTGATACAATATATGTATATATAAAAACATGGTTAGAATTGATTGCTCCAGTTCTTTCCGCCTCTTCTGATTGATCTTTGCCTTCTAATTCTAAGCCAAAAAAAAAAAAAAAAAAAAAAAAAAAGAGGAACAAAGTCAGGAAGAAGTTAAAGTTGAGGCATCAAATCGAATTGAAGTATTTATCAATGCTGAAAGTAGAGAAATCAGACCATAGTCCTTTAAACAGCATAGCATCTTTTATTTCTTAGAGATCTATTACTGCCCAATCCTAGAAAATTTTTAACAAATATCAGGAAAAAGAAATATCAAGAAAAGAAGAACTATAGTTGCAAGAAAGCAATAGTATGGCATTCGATTCAACAAAATTAGTCTGAGGTTAACATTTCAGAACAAGGTCATGAACAATTTCCAAATAATAAAATCAAATGATTACCTAAAGCTGCATTAGGAAGGACTGTGATGCGGCACAATGGTTGAAAACAAACTCACTTGCCTAAGAATTGAGGCAAGACTTGGTAACATCAATCAAAGACAACGATCGACGGATTTCCAATTTTGTGTTCTAAATCAAACTGACGAATTCGAATAAAATTTCAGTGAGAGAGGCTGTTTAAATGCAGGATCTTGAATGTATAAGTAAATCCGCCATGGGAGCTACTACAGAGAGTCGGTGATGGTGTTGATGGAAGGGTAAAAACCAAAACAGAGAGACTGGGGCGGTGTAGACTGTGGAGTGCTCTGCGAGATTCTTCTTGGGGGAGAAGTTTTTGGTGGTTACTAGAACGGAAGAAGTTTCAGGCAGTTATTAATGCCAAAGCAAAGTGGCATGAGATGTTGTTTTGGGCCAGCTAAGCCTATTTAATTGATTTGGGCCAGCC